TTCACTTTTCTGTGTCCGGATACCGAAATGCAGACAATATCAGAAGAAGTGGTTTTAGCTTTCAAGCGATGCCCTTCTTGCACCGACAGCAATGTATTTTATAGCAAAGCAGAAAGGTCAGAAATGAAAGGAGGCCCAGAACACTTGGGCAAAGCGCTGACATATCGTTTGGCGCAGCACATGACCTCCGACAAGCACAAGCTGGATCGCAATCCGGCCGAAACCCTCGCGGAGGCCGTGCCGATCCAGTACGCTTCGACCAACTGCCGGCCATGGCCAGAAGTGCCGCCGGAACTTGCTTGGAAGAAGGCGGCGCCGCTGCCGCCGCCGCCGCCAATGCCCCATGCTGGGGGCAAGCGGGAAGAAAAGGAAGCAAACGAGCCAAAGGAGCTGCGAGAGCGAGCCCGCTCCCGATCCAGCCGCCGCAGACGCGGTCGCTCGTCTTCCTCTTCGACTGATGGGGAATCGGTGAAGCGGCGTTCGCAGGAGGAGGTCCTGAACGACGTCGTGACTGATATCCCATACCTGAACCTTCGCAGCCTTGTAAAGGTCCTTGGTTGCGTTACCAGGCGCCTTGAGGACATCACTGCCGAGAGTTGAATGTAGCGAGAGTAGGAGCACGATGTGTATATAACACTAATAAAGCAAGTTTTACAGGTGACTTGCACAGCGCGGACATTCTGTCCGAGGGGGTGTGTTGGAATTCCACCTCTCTCGTCTATCGTCGCTCTCTTTCTCTCGTTGCCTGCGCCGCAGCCGGCTTGGGTCAAGCTGATCCCAGGAAAGAGCATCTGCTTTCTTACACCTCCTCCTCCTCCTCCTCCTCCTCCTCCTCCTCCTCCGCCTCCTCCTCCTCCTCCTCCTCCTCCGCCGCCGCCGCCGCCTCCGCCTCCTCCTCCTCCTCCTCCTCCTCCTCCTCCTCCTCCCGCCTCCTCCTCCTCCTCCTCACCTCCTCCTCCTCCTCCTCCTCCTCCTCTCCTCCTCTCCTCCTCCTCCTCCTCCTCCTCCTCCTCCTCCTCCTCCTCCTCCTCCTCCTCCTCCTCCTCCTCCTCCTCCTCCTCCTCCTCCTCCTCCTCCTCCTCGTCGGGATGCGCGCTCGGCGGCAACCGGTGCGGGAAGCCATGCCGGCCCCACCGCGGCCGGCCCCCTGGGGGCGCAGGGCTGCGAGGAGCGCTGCTTCTGTTCTTGTTCGTGCTGCCTCGGCTCTGCTGGGCGTCATACAGTCGGAGGCACGTGTCGCGAGGCACAGGACACAAGGGTACCCTTGAGCTGGCAGGGTCGACCTACTAATCCGGGCCGACTGTAAGTAGGGAGCCGAACTCCACACACCGACTCTGTTGCCGGCACCGCACTGAAAGACGCACAGGAAAGGGGATCCTGGTGCATACAGTATCCTGGTGTGTATATATATATATATATATATGTTTCGATGCTTCGATGTGTCCCCAGGGAAACCGGGGCAAAAGTGTACACCACACCACCTTGACGTCATCCCCGACCCTCACAAAGTCATGGGATGGAAAAAGAGCCCGCCACTGGTAATGTATATGCTGCAGCTTCCAAGTAAAAGGTGACCCAGGGTTTTCTGGACTTCCTCGGGCTCCCTCGGGGCTCTGCGGGATGCTCTTCCGAATCTTCTAGGTGTCATGGGTATGTTGGATCCCCCTGGAGTCCGCAAGATGTCTTCGGGGTAGTCTGGAGGGATTCCGCTACATTCTCCTGCATCCTCTCGGGATACCATCGGCGGCACTGAGCGGTGAAAGTCAGTGGTGGAGGGCCGGAAGCGCAACCACTACGAGCGCGAATGATAGGGGGGAGACTGGCTCAGGGGGGAAGCATCGACCTGGAAGACATCACCGATAGATCGGCGATAGCAGGCCCCCGATACAGACTCCGCAAGCTCCCCGGCGGGGTGGGCTATCGGGCCCCTGTCGGCGACGAATGGGCGATCGGGGGTCGATGCATCCCACCCTCGGCCTAAGTCGGGCCTGTCCCCCTACAGGCCGATTTTGGACGAAAATTGTTTATATATATAAAATATATATATATATATATATATATATATATATATATTAAACAAAAAAAACTCCGACAAAAATGCCATAAAAATACTCACAAGTGCTCAAAAACTAATCCCCAAACTAGTTTTTGACTATTTTTGAATATCCCCCTCGTAGAGGGACAGGCCCGACTTAACCCTTGGCCTGTCCCCCCACGCTGCCCTGGCTCTCGGGGCACACATCGGGGATGGTGGGCGGCCGGCGCTTGGGGGGTCCATGCCGCCCCCCCCCCCCCCGCGAATCCCACCCCCTGACGCTGGCCGGTAGATCCGCGTTGGCAAGCCCCCGATAGCGGATCCGCACACTCCTCGGCGGGGTGGGCTGTCGGGCCTCCATCGGCGACGGACGGGAGAACGGGGGTCGAAGCGTCCCACCCTCCGCCTAATTATCCCCCCTCTCTTGGGCCGTCTTGGGGCGGTCTTGGGGGCCTCTTGGACCGTCTCCAACGCCATGAAAGCCGCAAAGCCGTGCATGCTAGAAATGTACCTTTCCCATGGGAAATCACATGATTTTGGCCTCCTAGTGGCCTCTTGGGACGCCTCTTGGGGGCCTCTGGGGGGTTCTTGGGGGGCTCGTGGGGCCTCCCGGGAGCGTCTTGGGGCGAAAGGCTAGACTTTGCGGTACGCTGCCCCCGATGCCGACCTCGTGGACAGCCGCATGGCGACGCACGGCACCGCGTGGCACCACAGCGGGCACCCGCAGCCGCCCTCGCGCCCGCCCGCGCGCTGGCCACGCAGCGCGGCGGCGCACAGCACACGGGGCGGCCAGGTCCGGGCCGGGCGCCACGCGTTCGCTCAGGTGGCATCGCACAGCACCGCGCCGGCCCAACAGCGCACGACCGCGCCACCGGGCAGCCACCGGAGCCCCCTCGCGCTGCGCGGAGCACGAGGCGCGGTGCTGCCTTCGCGCCCCTGCGCCGTGCTCGGGCTCGAGGAACTGCCGTCGGAGCTGGGCCAGGAGAGCACCCCTCGAGAGCACGGGGCCCCCCGTCGACCAAGACGAGCAGAGCATCCAGGGTAGCCTCCCCTTCGTCATCGCTCGGACGTCCATTCCCCGTGCTTTTTTCGATTTCGTGCGTGGTTTTTCGCCACATGATCGAGGATGCTCCTCGATGGTCCTCGCCGAAGAACAAAAGCACACGTCCGAGCGATGCCGAGCCCCAAGGTGCACAAGCACATCTCACAGGCACGGAGAACGGCAGGGCACCCTTCCCGCACCGGCCTCGACCTCGTGCCTCGGTCCGACTGTGCTCCCCGCCGGGAGCGGCCGGAGCAGCCCCCAAGAGCCCCTGCGCGCGAACCCCTGCCTGAGCCGACGCGGGAGCGAGCACCTGCGCCCGACTCGGGCCTGGAGGTGGAGGAGCCCCAGGGCGAGCACGTGGCCCCGAGCCCATCGAGAGAGAAGTCGGCGGAGCTCGACTGGGACCCGGGCGCGATGGACAAATGTAGGGGGCCACATGCGAACCCTACCCCTACCCCCCACGATTTCTGAGGGGGAGGGTGGGGTTCGTATGTGGGGGGTAGGGGTAGGGTTCGCATGTGGCCCCCTAACGATCCAGACGGAGAAGCGCGAAGAGATGTCGCCTTCGCGCCATCGCGACGGCCCCGGAGGCAAGAGCCCCACATAGGGCCCAGACCGCGCCGCGCGCCGCGCCCTCGCCTCCGCGCCCCGGCCGGGTGGCCTGGCCCGCCGCGGCGCCACGCCCTGCGACGAGCGCGGAAGGGATGTGACAGCCGTACCCTTCCTTGCTTTGGGGACTCTGAGCCCCCCACGATAAAGCTGGAAAGTTCGTATACGGCCGACGCGCCACGTCGTGGTTGCTTACGCGTGCTCGTCCTAAACTACGTGAACCACAAGCCAGCTCCCAAGTTCCTGTCAGATAGCGGGAGGTCAGATTTGCCGGGTTTGGAGAAATGAGGGTGATCCAGGGTGATCGTCAGGGTAACCACTTGGCACGCGGTCCTCTCCACAAACCCTGCATTCAAACAACAGGGCATCTCTGAAGGGGGCCAGCCTTTACGCTCGCCAGCCTCCGCAGGCCTTCCACCGCCTTCCGCCTGCTGAGCCGTCCCCGTGTTGCGTCCGCCAGCCTTCCGCAGGCCTCCGCTGGGGGCGAGCCGTCAATTTTCGGGGGCGGCCAAGAGGGGGGTGTCCAGGAGAGGCCAGGGACGCAATGAAATAAGTAAAGGCGCCATGAAATCCGGGGAGATATCATGGCCCCCGCCATGATATCCACCCCCCCTAGTCATCACCTCCCTCTTTGCCGCCCCCGACCCACCCACGCTTCCCCACTCTGGGCGCCCGGAAGGGGTACGGAAGAAATGGGTACGGTGCCCAACAACAAATGCTGTCCAGCACCGACGGCAGGCGGCTTGATGTCTTCAGCGAAGAACGTCCGCGGGGGCGCGGACAGCGAGTCTGGTTCAAAATGCACAGGCACTGCTGTTCGGCATCGTACCCATTCTTTCCGTACCCATTTCGATCGTCCCGCTCTACAGGGGGGCGGCCTGGGGAGATTATTGGCAGAACGGAGCCGCGCTGCAAGGCGCAGACCAACGTCGTGGCCCCCCGCTGCCCCCCCTCAAGCGAGCCTCGAGTAGCAGCACTTGCTGGCGCACGCCCACCGTGGCCACTCGCCGCCGGCACGGAACGCAGTCGAGGGCGGCCGCCTCGTCTGCGCGCGGGCTCGGACCACGGCTGGGCAGCGCTGGTGTGACACCTCCCCCGCGCAGGCGACGACAGGAATGAAGAAGGCACCGCTTGCACACACACACACACCCGCGGGATCACGCGAGGCCTCCGACCGTCTCCCCGGGCACGGCGCCCGCGTGCCCTGCACACGCTCTCAAGGCCCCCAACAGCGGCAACACGCAGGCTGTCTTCTCCGACGCCTCCCCCCGCACGGCGGCCACTGTGGAGGCCGCGCCGCCGCCCGAGCGCTCACGTCGCCCAGTCCACCCACAGGCACTCCACGCGGCCGGACCCCGTCGGCCGCAGTGCCTCCAGCGCGCGCCTCTCGTCGAGGTCCCAGAGGACGACGGAGCCGTCCCAGTGGCCGCTCAGCGCGCGCTGCCCGGCGGCATCGAGCGCCACGGCGGCAACGGGGCTCGAGCCCGGCGCCAGCTCGTGCTCTGGCGGCCCTGCGTCCCTGCCCTCAAGATGCCAGAGCAGCAGGCGCCCGCTCCTCCCGCCGCCGAGGACGCGCAGCAGCGACGAATCGGCGCCTATGCTCCAGACCGCGTCGTGGCCGCCGGCGAGTGCCGCAACGCACGTTCCGCGGGCCACGTCCCACAGGCGGACAGAGCCGTCGGCGCTTCCGCTCGCGACCCGGTCTCTGGCCCAGCTGGCAGCCACGCAGAGCACGTCCTTGCTGTGCCCGCGCAGCCTGCGCGTGGGCTCGCACCGGCCGAGGTCCCAGCACAGCAGCGAGCCGTCCCGACCGCCGCTCACCGCCCTCCGCGCGCCCCAGTCCACCTTTGCGGTGTGCACAGGGGGGTATACGGGGAGGGGGAAAGGCTTCTGAGAGGGAGGCTGCTCCTCAGAGGGCGCCGGCCCTGCATCCACGGACGCGGCCCGCGCCTCCCGAGAAGCTCATCCTCCTCCTCCTCCTCCTCCTCCTCCTCTTCCTCCTCCTCCTCCTCCTCCTCCTCCTCCTCCTCCTCCTCCTCCTCCTCCTCCTCCTCCTCCTCCAGGGGTGCTTCTGGGAAGCCTCCCCCCCTCCCCGTGTATACCCCCCTCTGCGGGCGGCTGGCCACCGCCAGCGCCCAGACGTCTGCCTGGTGCCCCTCCAGCCGCCGCGGGCGCGCAGGCGCCTCGAGGCGCCAGACGCGCAGCAGGCCGTCCTCCGCGCCGCTGACCACGGTCTGCGACTCCCAGTCCAGGGCCGCGCACCAGACGTGTCCTGACTGCCTACCAGACCACCCCAACCCAACCCGAAGACCCGAATTTCGGGTTGGGGGGGGTACGGGTTCCATACGTGTTTTTTCGATGCTCCCCGACCCCCCCCCACTGGAAATGGAGGGCAAATTGAGGCCTTCGGGTTGGATTGGGGTGGTTTGGTGGGTGGTGATGTCCCGGGTGCTCGCCCAGCTCCGACAGCTGCTTCATGGCGAGCAGGTCCCAGCAGCGAAGCCGGCCGTCCTCGCCGCCAGACGCACACACATACAGAAACTAAATCAGTGTGCACATACACACAGGCACACACACATGTACACAATTTGACCAATTTGACAAGCATCGAACAACATCATTCATTCACAACACGCAGCACCCTAACAAGAGATCCCAAAAGACGCCTAGGTAAGGCAAAACATAATGGGCGGAAAACACTGGGTATTCAGCGCTTTATGCTTATCTGCTCATCGCTTGTTTTGCTCCCAGGATGTCCCGAGGTGGCGTTCGAGTCCCGATATGGCTTCAAGACGGCCCTTAGAGACCTGAAGCTGGCCCCAAGATCCCAAATTATGGCCCAAGGTGACCTCCACAGGCCCCAAGGAACCAACAACCTCGCCCAAGGGGGCCCAAACAAGGCCCTAAGTTAGCCCCAAGATGCCCCGATCAGTCTCCAAGATGCCCTTGAGAGACCCCAGGATGGCCCGAATAGAGGCCCCGAGATGCCTTCAAGAGACCCCTTGATGGTCCAAGAAAGCTTCAGGACAGAGGTAGTCCCAAGATGGTTTCGCCTGGGCGGGCGGTGGTAGAGGAAACAGCCCCCCACGATAAAGCTGGAAAGTTCGTATACGGCCGACGCGCCACGTCGTTGTTGCTTACGCGTGCTCGTCCTGAACTACGTGAACCACAAGCCAGCTCCCAAGTTCCTGTCAGATAGCGGGAGGTCAGATTTGCCGGGGTTGGAGATATGAGAGTGATCCAGGGTGCTCGTCAGGGTAACCACTTGGCACGCGGTCCTCTCCACAAACCCTGCATTCAAACAAAAAGGCATCTCTGAAGGGAGGCAGCCTTTACGTTCGCCAGCTTGCGCAGGCCTTCCACCGCCTTCCGCCTGCTGAGCCGTCCCCGTGTTGCGTCCGCCAGCCTTCCGCAGGCCTCCGCTGGGGGCGAGACGTCAATTTTCGGGGGCGGCCAAGAGGGGGGTGTCCAAGAGGGGGGGGGGGTGCAAACCATGACCGGCGGCATGTGCGCGGCCCAGCGGGGGGGCCAGGGACGGAATGAACTAAGACGAGGCGACATGAGATCTGGAGAGATAGCATGGCCCCCGCCATGATATCCCCCCCACCTGGTCATCAACCCCCTCTTTGCCGCCCCCGAAACTTCCCGACCTCCCGAAGGCGAATCCCCCAGAGCGCATTACGTCTCATTGTCTCCCCCCTTCCGCGCGGCCTGCTCCAGCAGTCCTGAGGCCGCGACCAGCAGAACGCCTCCCGGTGAGGCCAGGCGAGAGCGTCCTGGCGCGACCTTGCTAGGGCATGGTCGGTCAGCATCGCAAGACATCCGACGCGCTGCTCGGAGCTGCTCGAGGCGATCGATCGATTGCCTGGCCACGCAGCGAGCATGCTTTCCGGACGTGACCTTGCTAGGGCAGGATCCATCGAATCGGGCAATCGGTCGAATCGGAATGTACCAAGGACCGGGCGGCACCGACACGGAGTTGAAATCGAATCGAACCTGCCGCGCCAGGATGCACATCAGAACCATGCAAGCATCGGGCCGCATCGCATCGTCGGAATATCGGATTCGATTTCGGCCAGGCCAACCGGGATCGACATCGAATCGGAGCGATCAGATCGAAAAGGACCCTGGACTGAGGACCGCATCGCATCGTCGGAATATCGGATTCGATTTCGGCTGGGCCAACCGGAATCGGCATCGAATCGGAGCGATCAGATCGAGAAGGACCCTGAACTTCGGGGGCCACATGCGAACCTAACCCCTACCCCCCACGAGTTCTGAGGGGAAGGGTGGGGTTCACTTCGTTCTGGAGCTCCCAGAGCGAAGTGAACCCCACCCTCCCCCTCAGAAACCGTGGGCGGTGGGGGTACTCCAGATGTCGCAATAAAAGGGAGGGGGTCTGGACCCTCCAAGACAAGCCATTTCAGACCTCCCCCGTGGGAGAACCCTCCAAAACATCGTCCCCAGACCCCCCCAGGCCCTCCAAGATAGCCTGGAAGAGACCCCCCCCCGAAATGAGACCCCCCTCCCTTTATTTCGAAATCTGGAGTAGGCTTCGCATGTGGCCCCCATAGGACCGAGGAGAGGCCGCGGCAGGGATCGTCTCGCCAGCCTGCGCGGCTTAACCGAAGCCTGGGCCCCCTTCCCTGCGACCGGCCTCTTCCGTCCCGAGCCGCGGATCTGAGGCAGCACGGGCCCCCAGAGGCCGAAAACCGCAAACAAACACACACACACACACACACAAAAAAAAAAAAAAAAAAAAAAAAAAAAAATGTCCGTCTAGAAAGAGGAAAAGCAGCATAAAAAAAGAAACGTTCGACGCTCCGCGCGGACACCTTGGATCGGGGCGCGCGGAGCGCGCCGGGGGGCGGCGCCAGAGGCACCGCCAAGGGGGCGCCCTGTGCCGATCCAAGATGTCCACTGGGCGCGGAGCTCCGAAAGTACAGCCACCGGCCTGACCCAAGGAACGGTAAATGAGGAGCGAAGCTCTTTTCTGCGAAGGCATAGCGCATGAGGAACGATAAATGATGCATCGCGCATAAGGAACGATACATGACGCATGCAAGCCTAATGGAACGACCGAGCCCCTTTTGAAAAGCAAGTGTTCCTTATTCAAGCCGCTCGCTGTAGATGCTCATGCCGCTTGTTCGTCTTCGACCGTTGTGAGTTCTGCTGGACTGGGGGCACGTCGACCCCCATCCCAGGCTTCGTGGGGTTCTCGAATGGGCCAAGAGTGGGCGGGGCCCAACCCAGGGATATACGAAGGGCGGCATGCATCTTCGATACGGGTGCGTCCGAATACAGCCGGCCCGTATCACAAGGATGCGCGATACAGTCGGGGCCTTGACCTAAGGAACCCTAAATAAGGAACGAGGCCCCTTTTTCCCATAAGTTCAACCTCGAGTTCCTATGAAACACCTCAGGGAAACCCGAGGCAAACTGTGAAACAATCAAGGAACACCGAGCCCCTCCCCAACGAAAAGGGTTCCTTCTTCAAGACCCCTACTGTAAGGCTGCAGGGGCCTCGGACGCCCACTTCGGAGCTTCGCGAGCGGGGCCCGGCCAGCCAAGGTGGCCGAGGATGGGCCGGGGGGAGGCAAGGAGGCGAAGGTGCCCGTCGGGACGGCTGCCCCTCCTTGCTGTGCGGGTGGACTGTAGCCCCCGTTTGGGTGCATCCCAGGGCTCCCCCTGCTTTCTCTGAGCGGCCAAACGTTCCGAGCGGCACTCGGGAACTCTGGGGGAGCCAGGCTGCCGGGCGATGGCTCACGAGGCGCGCGAGGCAGGGGATCTACAGATAGACAGACACAGATCCGAGGATTCCCCAGATTTCCCTGTACGTTGTGGGTGCTCGTCTTCCCCCACCCCCCCCCCGCTTCCCACATTTCCCCTACCTTGTCCCAGCCAGGGGTCGACGATTCGTTGTGTCTGTGTGTCTCTGTCCCTCCCGAGCTCTAGCCCAGGCCAGCACGAGGCCCCGGGGGCGGCCAGGGCCCCGGTGGCGAGGCCCGGGGGCCGCCGCTCGGCAGCTCCCAGGCGCGGGCCACGGGGGAGCAAGAAGGGGCACTCGGCCCCACGGGGCTCCCAAGTGTGGCGGCGCGCACCAAAGGGGGGGCACGGGGGGAGGGGGGAAGGCTGCTCGGAAAGAGGCTCGGGGATCTTCTGACCCGGGGTCCATCCAGACCCGGGTCAGCAGGAAGCCAAAAACTGCAATGCAGGAAAAACAGCTGCAACGCAGGTCTTCGCAAACCCGGGTCAGCCGATAGGCGCGGCCGCCTCGCGGCCACGAGCGGCTCGCTAACCCGGGTCAGCCAGAGGGGGTCTTCGCAGGATCCTGCAGGATCCAGTGCCTTGGCTGACCCCCGTTTGCATTGACCCCCGTCTCGAGGCTCCCGAGAGGCTGCTTCTCAGAAGGCGCCGGCCTTACGTCCACAGACCATGCCCGCGCCTTCTAAGAGACAGGGGTGTTTCTAAAAAGCTTTCCCCCCTCCCCCTACCCCCCTCTGCGCGTGGCCGACAAATCCAGGTCGGTCACAGACCCCCGCTAGCACTGACCCCCGCTACGCGAGCCCCGCATCGCCGATGCAGCACCGATGCATCGGCGATGCATTATCGGCGTCGGTGATGTATCGGCGACGTCGACCTTGGGCCACTTGGGATTCGCATCGAAACGCATCACCGATACATCGGCGACGCGGAACGACACTTCGATCCCATCCGCTCCAACCCCACCTGGGAGACCTAAAGGGAGGAAGACCTTTTTTCGCCGCGGCCGGTGAGAACGTGCTCACTGGCCGATCAGGGCTGGGCAACGCGGCACCGCGCCGGCCAGCGTCCCCTGCAGAGAGCTGGATCGCCCGTGCTCGAGGACGGAGGAGGCTGCGTGAGGAAGTGATGTGGCTGAGTCTGCGAAGAAGGGTGAGACTGTGATGGACCCCGTGAAGAAGAATGGGTCTGTTATGGGCCCCGTGGTGGGTGTGAGTGGTCTGAGCATCAGCACCTGGCTGAAATGCGAGCGAAGAAGAGAAAGAGGAGGAGAAGGAGAAGAAGGACGAAGTCCAGAGGCGCCCAAGACATCAGAAGCAACCCATCTTAGGATATGGGCATCTGGGCAAAGACTCCGGGGCTCTCTCCCCCAGGACCCCATCCCTTCTTGCTGACATCCAGCCAACCCGTAATTACCAGAAGGCTGCGCCATGAGGATGCCAGGGCCCTGGACGCCCCTTTCGAAGCTTCTCGAGCGGGGCGCGGCCCACGAAAGCGGCCAAGGATGGACCGAGGAGACCAGGATTTCACGGGCGAAGAACGGTGTAACATGCACTGTTTCGCTGTCGGGGGCGCCTGTCCCAGGGCGGCTGGAAAGTGTATATCCTTACGGTGGCACCGTACAGGGGTATAAACTTTCCAGCCGCCCAGGGGCAGGTGTCCCCGACGGCGAAAAAGTTTATCTTATAGCGTTCTTCGCTCGCCGAAGGATGCAACGGCACCCTTGGGGAGGCTGCCCATCCTTCCTGTGCGGGTCGACTGCACAGGCCCGCACAGGCCTGGCCTCGCCCCGCGCTGGCACGACCCCTCCCGCCGCGGCGGACGCCGGGCATCGCGGGCTGCCCGCCGGGGGCGCTGCGGCCTCAGACGGCCGCCCTCACGACGGCCGGTAGAACTCCGGCTGGCGGCGGACGCGCTTGGCGGGGGCAGGCTCCTGCGCTTCGGTGGGGCCTGTCCCCCTCCAGGCCGACTCTGGAAGAAAAGGACAACAAAACAGCAAAAATGATCAAGAAGGGTCCAAAATCGTCCCCAGCCTACTGTTTGACTCATGTTTGCAGATGCCTTCCTGTAGAGGGACATGCCCGACTGAATCCTGCGCGGCACAGGACTGAGCGCTGAAGGCGCCCTCTCGCCACCACCGTGCCCGGCCCGGGGCCATCCTGGGCCTCCGGGTGGTGTACAGCCCAGCCCTGGCCGAGGCCAGCGGGGCCTGCACACACCATGCCGGGGCCCCGGAGCGTCCCGCGCGGGCACGGTGGTTACCAACAGGCGCACCTCCGCGGAGGACGGAAGCGCCAGTAGGGGGCCGCGTGCGAGCCCTGGCCCCACCCTCCCCCCTCAGAAGTCGTGGGGGGCAGGGGTGGGGTTCGCTTGTGGCCCCCCACCCCGCGCCCCGCGGGATGATCGGCGCTCATGGCAGGCGGCTGGGTAGAGGCCCGGCCTTGCGAGGCCGAGCCCCGACCCCTGGACACCTCCGCCGGCCGGCACGGCGCCTGACGAGCTGAGGCCGAGGGCTCCGTACCCTGCCGGCGTCCTGCCACTACACTACCGTGGCGTCCTTCTGCTTGGGGGCGCAGGGCTGAACCCCAGATGGTTTCCCCGGCCCCGAACCCTCCGACCCCGTCGCTGCCTGCCTCGGCACCCACCCAGTCGCTCGGGGCACCTCGACCAGAAGATCGCGTGGCACACGATAACGCCCATGCACCACGGCCCCGCGGGCGGGAGTGGATCCCCGGCGTTGCTGCCCGTCCTGGTCGCCACCGCCGCGCCTCCCCGCGGCCGCAGCGTTGGCGAGCAACGCCTCGACGTCGCCTGGCGAGGCCCTGCTCTGCTGCCCGTCCTGGTCGCCACCGCCGCGCCCCCCCTCGGCTGCGGCCTTGGCGAACGACCCCCCGACGTCGCCTGCCCCCGCCGCGCCCCGCAGCATCGCTCCGATCCTGGCCCGGCAGCCAGCGCTGTGCGGCGCCGTTGTGAGCACCTCCGTGCCCTGCTCGATGTCCCGGCAGCGGCCGCAGCCAGCAGTGAAGCCCCACAGCTCCAGGTGCCTCCGCACGACGTACGGCTGCCGCGGGCGCAAGCTCCGGCCGCCTGCAGCGGTCGACGGCGCCGCTGCCGAGGCCTCGGGAGCGGCTGCCCGCGGGCCCTCCGCCGATCGCGGCGGCACCGCTGCTGCAGCAGCGCCCCTCGGAGCGGCGGCCAGCTGGTCCTGCGGCGACGGCGGCGACGCGGGCGCGGCCGCCCAGGCGGCAGCCGGCGCTGCCGCACGGGGCGCCCCGGCACGAGGGCGCGGCACGCGACGCCCCCGGCCTCCCGCCTCCCGCGAGCGGCGGCCAGAGCCCCGCGGCGCGGAAGGCTCCCGGGGAGGCGGTGCCCACGCCTCCTGCGGCGGCCAGCCCTGGTCGCCCTCGTGGTGCGCCGCGGCGGCAGCCTGGGCGAGCAGCGCGCTGCTGCCTGCTGACCCCGCTGCGTCCCGCGTCATCACCTCCTGGAGCCTGGCCTGGCAGCCGGCGCTGTGCGGCACCCGCCTGACGATGCCGCCCTGCCGCACGTCGAGGCAGCGGCAGCAGCCGGGCGTGAAGCCCCACCGCTGCAGGTGCTCCCGCGTGACACGCTGCCGCGCCCGAGCCGGCTTCCTCACAGGCGATGCCTTGCACTCGAGGGCCCCCACCGCGCAGGATGTTACCTCGGGCAGGGAAGCGATCACAAGCTCGAGAAGACTGCAAACCGCCCAACGACCGCAACGCCGGCCATGTCATGGGAAGCAGCTGGGCCAGCTGCACTTCCAGCAGGTAGAAGCGATATGGGATAGAATGCAACGGACAAGTAGGATGCGACGTTCTAGGGGGGCCGCTCAGCGGGATAAGGATGCGAAGCGCCCAAGCGGAAGAGGCAAGGATGCGCATTAAGGGCGTGAATGGCACCATTTGTGAAAAATTGGTTCGCTGCTCGACTGGACTGCCAACGCTGGAAGCAAGCAAGACCTTTTGAGCATCTGGCATCGCCGACGCTGCTGCCGCCGTGGCCTCTGCAGCGGCGGCCTGCAGTTCACGCAGCGGTGCCGGCGGCGCCGCCTGAGCTGCCACTGCGGGAGCGTCGGCCTGCTGACCCTGCAAAGCATGCGATGGCGGCACCGCTGCCACGGCCAAAGGGACAGCCGCTTGTGAGTACCGCAGCCGCGGCGACGACGCCGCCGCTGGAGCGGCCGCCTGCTGGTCGCACCGCGATCGTGGCGCCTCCTCCGCAGCAGAAGAGGAGGCGCCCTGCCCGGCCTCTGGCGGCGGCGGCGGGGTGGCCAAGGCTCCAGCGGCCTGCAGTGGGGCGGCCTGCTGGCCTTCTGGCGACGGCCCTGCCGCCGCAGCCAGGGAGGCGGCGCACTGCTGCCGTTGTGGCGACGGAGGCGACGGGGCCACTGCATCAGCGGCCTGCGGTGGGGCGGCCTGCTGGCCTTCTGGTGGCGGCCCCGCCGCCGCAGCCAGAGAGGCGGCGTACTGCGGTCGCTGTGGCGACGGCGGCGACGGGGCCACTGCATCAGCGGCCTGCGGTGGGGCGGCCTGCTGGCCTTCTGGCGACGGCCCTGCCGCCACAGCCAGAGAGGCGGCGCACTGCGGTCGCTGTGGCGACGGCGGCGAGGCCACCGCGCCGGTGGCAGGCTGACCTGCTGGCGTCGGCGGTGCCGCAGCGGCGGAAAGAGAGGCGGCATGCAGGCCCTGCGGCGAAGGCGGCGACCGTGGCGAGTGCGGGAGCGCGGCTTCATCGGCCAGGGCCGCTGCAGAGGTGGCGTGCTGCCCTTGCCGCGTCCGCGGCGAGGAAGACGGAGAGACGGCCTGCAGGCCGCGTGGCGGTAGGGACGCCGCCACGTGAGCTTGGACAGCATGCGGTTCGCCTCCGCCTCGTCTGACAGGGCTGAGTACCAGCGGCTCCTCCTCCACACCACTGTCACCTTCGCCACAGGGGGGGGCTGGAAATTGAACTACCTACCCAAAAACTCGCTGAAGAGTGGTACAGGCTGACCACTCCGCGTCGAGCCGATCACGCCGCAAGCCTCGGCGCACGATCCCGTTACAGCCTGGATTGCGAAGGTCGCCGGCTCGCTCGCGGGACGATCCCATGATCAGCCCGAGCAGATCGTACGATCATGTCGAGTCGATCCCGTGGGCACACATCGCTCAGATCCCGGCCGCCGAAAGCGCCACACGACGTGGATAGCGAAGCCCGTCATCGCCCAGGAGCCAGGACCAGAGGGACTGTGCGAGGGCCGCGTGGCCTGCTTGGGAAATGGTAGCCGTCGTGTTAGCATCACAGCGCGATCGCCGCAGAGAGGAGCGCTGGCCTTGCTCACCCAGCGCGAGAACGGAGGGGAGAAAAGGGTACACCTGCCTGTGCCAGCGACACGGGAGCTTACACAACCAGAACAGGCATGGGCACATGCCAATCCTGCCAGACATCTGTCGAAGCTCCTCCCTTGTACGTGTCATGTCCCCGGGGCCATGGGCTCCTGGAAGACTCACATAATAAATCAGCTTCTTGGGGTGACTGCGGGTCAGGTGTGGTGTTGTCATTCCGAGCCGGCTGCTACGCGTTGAGAGCGAATTTGCACGCAAAGGGAGCACGCTGCTTCTCTGGCTGATGCTCCTGAAGGCCGCGCTGCCTTTCTGCCTGGTCCCACGGACGCGCTTGGGAGGCCAGGGCGAAGCATAGAGTCTTGAAGCCGCGCCCACACACCGAAGGCAAACACATCCCTCTAGGGAACGGAAGCGTGTTCGAACAACTCCTTGACACTTGCGCTCGCTTCGTCCCCCCGACTCCGAGTCGAAGACCAGCCACCTGGGCGTAGGTGGTTCAGCGAGCTCATTCCTCCAACCCCCTTCTCCCCCTTCGGGGAGGGACTCACCGTCCAATCATGAAGCACACCCTCCCCATTCAACCTGCGGCCGACCAAGTACCATACCCGCCCCACCCACACCATCCCTGTTTTTTTCATTTGTTTAAAATTAAAACAAAAACAAAAAACGAGGCGCACTTTGCGGCAAAATCTTGGGCCGTGCGCAAGGGCCCCGCGATCACTCGACGTCGCTCCTGGAGGAGACGGCCGGGAGCCAGCATACTGCTCGGTGCGCGGAGCCGACCAGCCATAACTGGGGGAGCTGTGGTCCTTACCCCCCTGGGGGAACCCATCGCCTCGACGATCTCTCGAGAGGGGTGTCGAAATCGATGGGTCCCCCAGGGGGGTAAGGACCACAGCTCCCCCAGTTGTGGCTGGCCTGCGGAGGCCCACCGTCCCGTTCAGGAGAGCAATGCGCACGGCTCGTTGCGGCACAATCGTGGACCATGCGCAGTGCTCTTCGCGGCAGAATCGGTCACTTCGCATCGTGCCCTTGACGGGGATGGTGCGGGTGCCCGCGAACCGCCTGGTGCGCGCGGGCCTAGCATCCCAGTCAAGAACACATGCAAAGTAGTTGTGGGGGGACGCGCGCGGGCCTAGCGTCCCAGTCAAGAGCACATGCAAAGTAGCTGGGGGGGGACACCATACACCCATGACGACCACTCCCCCGCCGCTTCGCAGCGGCTTTTGGGCAAGGACGGCTGAGAGTCGACATGTGGCCCGATGTGCGCGGTCACGTTTGCTGGTGCTCCTGGCCTTGAGACTCGGGCGCCAGCGGGTGGAAGTGAACGAGACGGCTTGTGGCCGTCCCTCGGGTCTCGACCTCCGATCTTCAAAAACAAAATGCCCCCCCCCACTCGACCGGCCGCCGACCCGAAGCCATGCCGACATCCCCACCCCCATCCCTGTCAAAAAACCATGCACGCAACCAATGTTTGATCCATGGTCGGGCGCCCCGTGATCACTTCACATTGCTTTTGACAGAAACGGCGGGGGCGTTAGCACATTGCCCCAAGTGCGAAGGCCCACCATCCATGCCAAAAAACGAATACCAAGTGCACTTCGCGGCAAAATGTATAAGACCATGCGAGGGCGCCCCGCAATCTTTGCATTCATATTGGACAAGGATAATGGGGGTGCCCTGGCACGCGTGGCGCACCTCGAAGGCGTCCTCTATCTGGCTAGCGTCTGCATTGCTTCCCGATGGTTGTCGATGGCGACCCAGGCCCATGTTGAGACTCGGGTGCTACCTATGTGTTGGGAGGGCGAGTGAGAGTGAGCGAGACGACATGCGGCTTGGGGGTAGCTTGACCCCCCTGGGTCTAGAAGGGGCGGGGGGGCCGCGAGAGATTAGGACGTCCAAGAAGATGACTCAAGATGGTTCCAAGATTTCCCCAGATTGCCTGAGATGACCTCCAAGGTGCTGCAAGGTAGCCCAAGATGGCTCATAATTGCATCCAACATGCCTCTCAGAGGCCCCAAGACCGCCCCAAGACGGCTCCAAGTGGCCTCGGAGCCTGCCAAGGCCGCCCCCGAGAGGAAAGAGCCCGCAGTACGGATGCCAAAAGGTGGTTGCTGCCCCGCCTCTTCGCTACCGGAGAGCTGCTGAGACCTCAAGATGGCTCCAGGACCGCCCAAGAGCGCCCCAACTGCGCCCCCTGAGGGCCCCGAGAGGGCTTCGGCAGGGGAGGCCTAAACGAGGACCCACCTCATTCAAAAACGGCCTGCAAAGACCCCCATCAGAGCCCCAACAGAGCCCCGAAGGCTCCAAAATGGTCCCAAGAGTGCCGTACCCTCGGTGCCATACAGTGGCCCCAGAGACCTCCAAGAAGATCCCAAAGCGAAAAGCCCGTGTGTAAATCACGGTTGACTTCTGTCGACGCTGCCACTGTGCTCATCCTCCCACCTCCTCATCTACCTCTTCGTCCGCCTCTTCCCCGTCCGCCATCACCTCGTCCTCGTCCTCGTCCTCGTCCTCGTCCTCCTCCTCCTCCTCCTCCTCCTCCTCCTCCTCCTCCTCCTCCTCCTCCTCCTCCTCCTCTTTCACTTCCTGGCACCCAGTCCCCATAAAGATGAATGGAAACATGTTCTGTCTACGTCGCATTCCTCCTGCACGTCCTGCTCCTCCTCCAAATCCTCCTCCTCCTCCTCCTCCTCCTCCTCCTCCTGCTTATCACCATCATCATCAACATCACCATGATCATCATCAGCATCAGCATCAGCATCAGCATCATCATCATCATCATCATCATCATCATCATCATCATCATCAGCATCATCATCATCATCATCATCAACATCAACAGCATCATCATCCTCATCAT